GGTCAGATAAGGTAAAAAAGTCAAGTTCAAAATTGGTTTCCAAAGGGCCCCTAGAACCTGGACAACTGTTTTAAGCAAAATGCCACACGCTGAGGTAAGGTTAGTGACCTTGTTTGAACTTTTAAAGGTCATGATAACCAAAATGATGCAAGTCTGTTTTGAGTTTTGCATTTGGATAAGCGACAAAGATTACGCTAAGCAGCATGTTCCTAAAAGCAAAATGTTTACCTGCGCCATCTTAGGTAAGCGATCTATTTTGCCAATAAGAAGTCCATGGAAGGTGTATAATGCGGTTCCTATCATCAATAAATTGAAAATGAGCACCAGTATCTACCCCATACCGCAAGCGTTAGGGTGATAGAACAGGTTGGTTTTGACCTTGGTCTGACCTTAATTCCTGACCTGAGGTCAATGTAATTTGTTCATTCAGTTGTTGTGTTGCCGAAGGAAGTATCTCAGAGTTGTATGGCTTTGTCTGACACTCTATGGTTGGATCAGATTGAATGATTTCCTAGAAATCGCCCTCGCTGAAACCATGGCCTGATTTTGACCTGCCATTCGTTAGCGACCTTACAAGCTACGTCTAAATTTTTAATGCCGGACGATCCGCTATTTAATTGTCTATAGCTATGCAATATTTGGCGCAGCTACGCCACGCCGTTCGGAAGCGATTTTGGAGAAAAAAAACTTCGGGGTCAATTTGTCCCCCACCCAAGCGCGTGTTACAGCTTGAGGCTTCAAACTAAGGCTTCAAGGCCCTCAAGGATTTTACCTCTTTCTGCAGGCTGGCGATTTGGTGGTCCTTCTCCACACACTGCATGCACTCATGCATGCAAAACACAAGCCATCGCCATTGGTTCAATTGTTGTACTACCCCACAATAAACTTGGAACATCTGCAATTTTAAAATGGAACGTGAACATGTCTCAACTAATATTACACCGCACCAACAGCACTCGATCTCGAGTAATATAGCACTGCACCAACATAACGAACAGCACACAATTTGCTTAGATTCCAAAGTAATCGACTGTGTAAATCACATGGTGCTGCAATTTTTTTTGCAAGCAAATTTGTAAATACTTGGATAAACAATCACAAGGAGCGTGTTGATCCATCGAAGACTATTACAGTGATAAACACAAGATCCTAAAGAAGATTTAATGAACAAGTCAGTTATGTTATGGAAGTCAGTGCAGAACGTTGTTATAACCTTTTCATAATCATAACCTTTTCATAATCCGGTGATGCCTGGGAAATGTTTTTGTCTCCCAGGGTGTCCAGCACAGCCTGGGTTCGTGTTCTCTCATGCCGCCTCGCAAGAACATTCTGAGACATTTCCCCGAAACAAGATAAGCGCTGTTGGGATGTGCATGTATTTTTGTGTTTTGTGCTTTGTGACCTGGTAAAGCAATCGATGAAATCATGTCAGCATGGTAAGTTATCAATGCTTTATTTAACTGTGGTCTACGCAAACCTGGCATGAGCAAAAAAGATGGAAAATGGAGTAAGCAAATTCAGATATGGAGCGGCAACAAGCTTACCTATCCTTGTGTTGACTCTTACCTTTAGTATCTAAATCACCACTACTCAAAATTCGGGACTGCTTTTGTTCTCACTCTACCTTTCCACTATAATTTTGGAAACGCCCTTGTTCTTTTTGTTTTTGCTCACTGGGCTTATGGATGACAGCCGGTAACAGTTGATCGATGAAATTGAGCTCGCCACAGGACCCCTCTTCAAGTCGATTGCATTTTGTGATGTCCTTACGCTCATTGCGTCTCATTTGGGAGCTATTCGCACCAGCTCACTAGAGCATGTTGCAGTGTCATTCCCAGGGCTTTCTCACAGCACGTCGGTTGCAACTAACAATTTTCTCGTCTTGCCAATAAGCTCCCGCGGCCGACGACTGAAGTGGTGGTGATAGCGCTGAGCAAGGCTAGGTTTTATAGCGGGCATCCCACATCTGCGTGAGGTTTTGAGCTGAAATAGCAATATTGAAGATTGGTTGGAGCAGTTCACAGCTCTGCTCTTCTTAAGGCCTAAAGCCATTTAGTTTCCGAGCTATACGCACGCGAAGATGTTGGAGAATTTTTCGGGGGAGACTATTTCAAGGTCACCTTGGCGTTCATGACTTCATAACAACGTCATTCAAATCCGAGTATTTCAAGTATTTGCATAAGACATGAAGCGATCAAAGCCAAATAATGATCATGATAATAATGGTAGAGTCCTTCGTATATGGCGTTTGCGAGCGCGATTTCCAGATATAACAGCCGTCAACTGGCTCTCAATCAATGTTATGCAAGGTACGATAGCGTAATCAAACAATGACGTATTGAGGAGCATAGTTATTAAACAGCGAAATCATGTTGTCAAGAGCAATCTTTCCTGCTCAAAAGTATCATATCTGATACTTGCTTCAGTATCTTGAAATTTGAAATATTCTCTTTAGCAAATATTTCGGGGTAAAAAGCAGTGATTTATTGCTGTAATTTGCTTAAAGGAAGTGTTCCACATTTGAAGATATTGAGATAAGCATCAGACATGACGGGGAGGAACTTATAACTGTTGGTAAGCTTCCAAGGTCCAAAAACGACCCTAAATAGCAAAATTTCGAAGTTTGTAAAAATGCGCCCCATCACGTCATAGTTTGATGGCGTCATGGAATGGTTTTGTGACGACAGCAATACCTGACAGCATCTGGCGGCCAGACTTAAAGAATGCTGACGATGGTTGACCATTTTTACCGCGCGCGCTGCGCCGGGTGGCGGATTAGTGAATGGCTTCTTTGTGGATTTTTGTGTCCTGGTGCTGGCCGTTAAAAAGTTTTGGTCGACTGTTTGACATAGGCAACGTAGCGATCGCCAGCTTATATGGCAGATTGTAAATATCAAAGCACGATGTGTTGTGAAAACTGTCCTATAGTGTCATGAATCTCTTACCGAAACTTGCCAAGGACTGTTGATGATGTTAATACTGTACTGTCGACCTATTCTTTCCCGCAGTGCTGTAGTCCTGACATTGATATGTGGTGTGCACAGTAGTTACTTTCTTTATCATTCGTTACTGGAAATACAGTTGCATGCAAAAATTTAAAAAGTTGTACCATTGTTATGAAATGATTGTCAAAGCATTGTTATTGCTATGGTAAGGATGGTAAGGCTGCGCTACCAAGAACATTTTTCTTGCTCAGAATTATTTATGCAATTACTAGTTAACCCTGATGTAACTATTGTAGTACAACAGCAATTTCGCTGGTGAAATTCCTTTGGCGTTGTTTAATCAGTTATTACCAGTCATGCATCAATAATAAAGTGCTATCTCACAGAATCTCCTTATCTCTTTAGAGCCCCGTTGACGACGAGTGCCGCACAACCTGAAAGTGCTCACGGTCACGTTCGCGACACGCATTCAGCAGCGTAATCTTAGTAGCAGCCAATCACCTTCTGCGGATTGTATCATGTGTGCCGCATCATGGCTTTTGCGAATGTATCAGCGGCCATGCTGTTTCTGACCATGAGCAGAAAACAGCCTGCAATATCACGGCGATCGTGTGACGTTTCTGTGACATGATCAATGCGAAGACGGCTTTGAAATAGTCCCTTAACCAACCTTTTTTTCACTTTTGCCGGCATGTAACTCAAGGAACCAGAGGGCTTTGGATCTTAAAAAGGGCAAGGTCTTAAACTGCATCAAATGGTTCTCAAGATGGCTATCGCAGCTCAGGACCCCCATATAAAGGAGGACCATCCCCTTTAATGTATTCTTGAATGTAGTTTTCATCTAATGGATGTGTTAACTGTCAGCGATATATAAAGCCAGTCCCAACACATCGACAGGGAACAAATATCAGTGTGAATGGTACAAATGCATCAAGGCGAGCTACCGATTAAAATCAGCTGTGAACTGAGAACCTGAAGAGAACACATGTTAGTAAAAGCAGCACCTAAAAGTTGCGGATTTACAACATGACGTATCTTCGGTGTCCGAGCTTGTTGAACAATGTCACATCCTCACAGCACGTCGCACCAGCATCATGTTCGTCCCGCCCCGGGGAGTTGGTGGTGAAAGTCAATAAGATTCCTGATTGGTTATGTTTTTGGTGCACTTTAAGGCAAGAAGCGCTGCCTTCTGAATTACTGGTTATCTCATTCGTACGAGAGGCACTGGCCGAGGTGGCTATAAGAGATCAGCACTTTTTTCGGTACTTGCCACACCAGGCAGCAGAAAGGCTGGGTCGGGGCCGAGGGCGGAGCCAGCATCGCACCATAGTGGGCCTGACTACGAATTATGCGTCACCTGTCCGACGATAAGCGTATGGAAAGGTTCTGGTGCTTTAACGTTTTTGAGGAGGGTTCGGACACACAGCTCCTCTTGGATCTGCTTGTACTCAGATGAAGAAGAGCGTGACGAAGGTGGCTACCGCCTTGAGCAGGCAATCGTGCCTGAAACCGGGCGTAAGCTGTGTGTGTGATGTACCTAAATACATCTGTCACTGTTTTTTAAAACTTTCAGCATCTGAAGTATTGAACATGTACGTGCTCTCAGTCTTCTTTCCGTCGCAGGAGACAATGGCAGATGCGCTTTCAGCTCTGTCCAAACAGCCGAGCAGTCCTCGACGTCGGCCCCACACGTGAAGGTGACGGAACGTGGTGTACACATCACCCCGCGGGCATCAGGCCTTGGATTCGCTGTACATGACTCGACGTCCTGCGCCGTTCTGCGTACCGTCGCAAATCCAGACCACATCCTCGGACCACCAGCGTTGCAGACAGCTGATCGACCCTCGGTGGCCGAGCCGGGCGGTCAGTGGAACGCTGCGGCGCCCCGTCCCGCCGTGCGACGGACGACGCGGGGGCGGCGGCGACGCATAAGAGCGCCGCGCGCGGCCGGCGGTGCCATTTCAGGCAGCAGCCAGCGGCCATGACGCCGCGCGCGCTTGCCCCGCTGCTGCTCGTGCTGACCGCGAGCGGCGCCGCGCTGTCGGTGTCGACCCCCGCCGAGGACGAGGACGCGGATATGGTCAAGTTTGGTGAGTAGGGAAGTGCTGGGAAGGCCCCGCCCTGCCCCAAGTGTCCTCCTGTGCACGCCAACGGTCATCGGAGGTTCGGGGCTTTCTTCTGACACTTTGGCATTGCATGTGACAGTGTTCCTGAAATCCTGCTCAGATTTAGCTCCCGAGATGTACGAGGTGCATTCGCACGGCTTCTAAGCATCCAAAGCCTTGCGATGTTTTCAAGGTCATCATGATCTATGCGAATGATCAAAAGCAGGCCCTGTTGGATGTTTAGGCATTTTAATCAACCTTCTTCCATTTTCACACACACAAAAGTAAATGCGTCGTGTGGAAAGGCACGGGGGACTGGAATAAGGGGGGGGGGGGCTGGGTGTAAAGTAGTACGCAAAAATTATTTCAGTGACCAACGATGATGCCGGGCACCGTGCATTCTGAAGCAATGATGGATGCGCTGGTACGAGACAAAATGCAGCATATTTACATTTCAATTGCTGTATTTCAACCAGACACAAAAACGTATTTCGAATACCCGAATCAAGGCAATCAGCTAAAGGAAAACCCCGTCGAAATAAGTACTTTCTATCAATTGTACGCCAAGTGGCAAGTAAACATCCAAATTATTTCACGAACTCCCTAAAATTAGCCAATATTAAAAAAAGCTCCAGCAAAGGATGTCAAGAGTTGTCCCACAGCCGCTGTCGTGTGAGTGTTCTGTCATGTCCACATCACATATGAACATGATAGAACATTAGCATAACAGCAACTGATGCACAACACGGCATCCTTTGGAGATGCAATGGAAAAAACAGCCTCCAAATCTTGGAAAGCATATTTATAAATCAATTGTCCCCAGCGCCTAAACTGTCAAACTCTTGTTCAACCATTGAGCAACGGGATGTTGTGCGTTGGTTTGTGCTAGTGCCATTGTAGCCACGCGTCTTGTGGTGTTTTCCAGTGCTGATGCATTTTACGCGCATTTAAGTAACAGCTTGAAGCCATATGAATATTTGCCATCTGTTCCATAATTACTTGCATTATCTGTACTAAAAGAAGCAATACCAGTATGGATGCACTCTTGCAACTGTTGCCCCACTTGCACGTGCATACAAAAGGTGCTCCTAACTCGGCTACCGTCCCTGAGATCTATTGTGGCCGATATGCAATTGTTGCCTGATGCAACAAAGCCTGTTGGTAAGGGTGAACTGACCTGCATTTCCGGGAGACTAGGAGACAAGATACAACAACCGAAAAGTTAACTTAAACTCTTGTCGTGGGCACATGGAGAGACTCTATTGGTACTCCTTTCTCAAAATGTGGACACGCTACCGCGCGCACGCACGCAGAACACGCACGCAGAGATCGGCATTGGATACCTGTCGTAAAGCTACCCTGTATAATTATCATTAAGCAGCAGTGCAAGTTACCTCTAACGTGTGAAACAAGGTCAACTATACAAAAGTTTATTTTCTGTCCTTCCACCCACAAGCACTTTGCTGGTGGGACAGGCAGCATAGTGTATTTTCGTCACACGGCATCATGCACCGACATAAAATTGTTTGTTAATTTGATCTATGATGCTTAAAACCAGGCGCTACGGGACAAGCCTTGTGTACATAACATGAGCATAGCAGTGTGTGTACGTGAAACCCTGCATTGACTCTGCTATGAATGAGGCTACAACGAAGGACCCTGAAATATTTCCCCGGCGTTAAATGTCGTTTAATATGACCGAAGCTTTGTCAAACCTAGTGGGAGTTATGACACATTTGACATAATTGACCGGGATTACATGTTTTGCGATGAGGGCAATCAATGAAAATGATTTACAACATATACTCTGTGAAGAGGTCACGTCATCGGTCGCCTGAAAGCAAAATATCACCGGCTTTTATTTTCCACCAGCGACGGAAAACACTCAGAATAGACTGTGAGTCCCGGCCGACATCCACTTTATCAAGTTTACATCGTGCCATTGCAATAAATTGTCTCGCATCGTGTCAAAATTTTACACAGGTAATGACGTACAGACGGTTGTAGGGTTCCGTTCTGGAAGGCGTTTCCTGGTAAATTGAGGTCATTTCGAGAGAAAAGTGATGCAATTTGCCCTCTCAAAAGAAACAAAAGACAAACGGCGTACGTCATAATTTGTAGACATCTCTAGGCGATGGCGAGCATGCCGTTCCCTCCAGCCTCATATCCCGGCTGTCACGCTGTGCTGCCCGCATATGGAAGCATGGCCACACCAAACAGAGGGAAAACACGCAACCCTCCGGCCAGTGGCAACCGGTTTTTTGTTTCGCGCCCCGTTTCTCGCATTATTCATCTTCTGCTGACGAAGAGGTCGGCAGCATGCTTCAGGGCTCACCGTATACCCCCCGCGCAAGTTCAGACTTCTGCGTGAGGTCGGAGCATGCCCCGTTCGAGGCACGAGCACCGTTTTCAAACGCCAGTTGACACCGGTCCGGACGCTGTAAGCCCTCTGACACGCAGGACAGTGAATGTGTGAGAGCCGGCCGCCTCGAAGTGCGGCCTGTGAACGTCGGCGCATGCGTAGTCTCACCAGCCTGCTGTGCACGTGACATCGCTGGGACGCGATGGTGCAGCGGCAAAAACGACCATCAATATACGTGCCGGTTGATATTCGTCGGTCTATGAAAATGCTGTGCACCTGTCTCTTTGGCACTCTGCGGCGACGAAGGGTGCCCATTTTTATGACTGGTGTAGGTCAGTCAAAAGCGTCATCGGCACATGTCTCGACGAAATGCGCCTGGATTGGCAGAGCGTCAAAGCTTATTTATGGCAGTCCTCGGATCCTTCAGAGCAGCAGTGTGATGAGACGGCAGCTTCATCCTGTCTCTCAGTGCGGCCGCCCCTCCCCCGGCAGTGATCCGACCACTGCTGCCGCGCGGCGCCTGCCTGATCGGCAAGATATTCCTGATCGACAGCCACTACAAGGCGCTGGGCCAGGGACCGGAGAACATCCAGGTTCTGGAGCTGGGATACCTGCGACGACCCGGCAAGCGTAGTGAGCTCGCCCACTGCCAAGTGTGAGTGGGCGGGCTGCCAGCGGGGGGGGGGGGGGCGCCAAATCGGGATCGACCGCCAACGTGGGAGGGGGAGGGGGCGAGCTGCCAACTGGGGGACGAGCTGCCAACTAGCAGCGGGCTGTCATTCGTGTGACGTCATTTGAGTGACGGCCTGCCGGCTGTGGTCAGAATAGAGCCCATCATAACAATGTTCACCGAATTTGAACTGGCTGCTTTCTGGCCATTTTGTGACGCAGCGCCAGCAGAACTGTAGGCTGCCATCCGCGTGCCTTACTGTCGTCTTGTCAGGGTGTGATGGATTGCCAACAGCTCCCACGGTATCTCCCCGGCATTGTCGTTTTTTCTCGACCACTCATCCATTCCCATTCCCCGGCACACTCGCCCATCATTTCGACACCCAACCGAGTCCCCTGCCTCATCTCTCCGCCACTTCATTTTCATTTCGCCATCCTTCCGTCTCTCTCCCTATCTTCTTGTTTTGTTTTGTTTATGTTGTTTTGCTTTCCACCTTCCTGTCTCCATTTCTGCCCCCACATTTATGCGTTTCCCCGCACTCCTTCAAGCTCCTGCCCTTTCCAACTCTTCGACTGTTCCCTTCCCGTCCCCTCTCTTGCTTGCAATCGCCACCCCGCACACCCAACTTCTCCCTTCTCACCCCTCCCGCCTTACCCTGCTGACCGCCCGTCCCCCCGCCCAACCCCTCCCCTCTCACCCAGCCCCTGCTGGCCGCCGCAGGAGCTGGGTGAGAGGTTTTGCCCACCCCTCCCACGGTACCCGGTCCTTGATGAGAGCCCCTCCCGACAGACTGCCGCCGGAGGACATCGACCAGCACGACTGGCTCAACGACTGGCTGAGGGCGGCGTTTCCGGGCCGCCGCGTGCGCCGTGTGTACCCGGCGCCGTTCACAGGCAGGTCGTGGCCCAAGACGATGCGCGCGCTGCATCGTGCCGCCCGCATCCACACGGCCAACGGCGGCGAAGACAGCTACGCCATCCTCTTCCTCAGCTCACTCCGGGACGTACTGAACTAGTGCCGGCGGAGCGAGGCGCTTGGGGGCGTCGCCCACGCCGCCCGCGCCCCCGCGCCGTTGACCGTGCCTGGTGACGACGGGGGGGGGGGGGGGGGGTGCCGCGAGATGCGGGCTCCGTCGCCTGTCATCGGCCTCCACGGGGTGCGGAGCGCCGCCGCGGTCGAAATCAGATGAGCACTGGACCGCCATGCGAATGCGACCACGCGAAACAGATGCTGGAGCCGCTACTACCAGGGAACCATAGACCCAATGAAGTGAGCGAGCCGGGGACTTAATGAAGTCGTTGTCGGCCCAAGCCCACTGTCGGAAAGCAGTGAAGGTTGACGGATTGGTCCACCGTCTGACCTACACAGGTCTGGGTTCAGGGCGTCTGCTTCGGCCCACAACTCAGCCTGCCGAAGGAGATATGATGAACGGCTTTACAAGGTGACCCAGGCGTCTGACCACGTGACCTCTTACTCCATCACGTCCGACGGCGTCTAGGAGTGGGCTTTAAGGGGCGGTGAAGCATGGAGACACGCCGCTCGCGCCCTTATGATGACGCGCTCCTTTGCAACATTTTGAGAAATTGCTTGCCGTTAAGGGCATTTCCCCGGAACGGATTTCTTCGGAGTCGCCTCTGGAGCACTCATGCGACAGATGACCGGAAGTGACGACTCGGCCTGTCCCACTGAGTTTGTAAGGGTCAGCAGGGGATTGCTCCTGTCCCGACGACGGCCGTCAGGCGTGAGTGCGGCTAGGCTGTTTACCGATCAGGCAGAACCACAGCTGAACTGTGGAAAGACGGGTTGCTTGGCTGCCTTTAGCGGCCGCATTGTCTCAAATATATGAACATGGCGCATGTACCGGCCTGGTGTATGTCTGAGCATCAGCCACCTAGTCGTTGGAAACAAGATGGTACTATTTTTAGCATTATGCCATTGAAGGACGTTATTTTGGGTCTGTGTGCGGTTTCAAAAACGGGAACGGGCATTCCCGAAGGTTTGTATCGTACCTAGAGTATTGGTATCATTTTAGAAACGGTGTGTCGTGACGTTGTGTTGCTTATAGTGCATTTTAGTGACGATGCGTACTGTTATGTTATGGCAACCATTCCATGGATGGTCATGCCTCTGAGTTATATGCAGCTTTCAGCAGAGTGGTCCATATGATTTGCTGCTTTTCTGCTGCAGTTTTTCTTTCGCTCTGTAAAAGTCTAATCTGTGCACGCCTCTCGGAATGTGACCCGCAATACACCAATATAATAATGTGACAATACAATGTGACATACAATACTGTGTCGAACGCATTTCTGTGTGTGACGAAGGCGCATCGGGGATCAGCGAGACGTATCATGTGCAGGACCATCAGGCGCACGGCGTCTACAGCACGGCGCACTAGCCTAACATCTCACCGCGAGCCCAAATCTCGACGCGGAGAGTATTTTTGTGTCCATTTTTGCGATTTGGAAGCGCTGAGAATGCCGGAAGCGAGCGGTGTAGAGAGGTGTTTTACGCTGTGGCGCACTGTTAGCGCTCAGTCACGAGAGCGGTACTGCGTACCACTCGCTCCACATTGATCGCTAGATGCATGTCGCAAGCCAAGGTTTTTGATATACGCCACGAGTAATCTGCGGTTTTCCAGGTTGAGGGGAACTTCCCGAGCCCCATCCGCGAGTGATGTGCCGTTCGTTTAGCGCCATCGTCGGCTCGGAACGTCGCAGCAGATAACGAGGGTGACGGCCGGCTGGCGAGCCTTCTTGCTGGTGTCTGGGGGGGGGGGGGGGGGGGGCGAGAGACTGAACGCACAGACATGCTGAGGACGTGACCCAGGCGTGGTACCTGAGACCTAGCGATTCACGGGAGAGGGGATGCCGTTCTGCCGCCGAAGGGAGCCCTCTTCTGCCTGCGAAGCACGAATGAGAAACCAGCGATCCGTTGCAGCTGACTTTTTGTATACTTGCCCTTCACGGGGTACAATAGGTACAATAGGTACAATAGGATAGCGCTGCAGAAGGACGTTTCGACGCATTTTGATGTCATTGATGTTAGAGGCGAAGTAGCCCACGTAAGCTGAACGTGTGTGTGTGTGTGTGTGTGTGTGTGTGTGTGTGTGTGTGTGTGTGTGTGTGTGTGTGTGTGTGTGTGTGTGTGTGTGTGTGTGTGTGTGTGTGTGTGTGTGTGTGTGTGTGTGTGTGTGTGTGTGTGTGTGTGTGTGTGTGTGTGTGTGTGTGTGTGTGTGTGTGTGTGTGTGTGTGTGTGTCACTGTGTTTGTGTCATTGGGACTTCACGACACACTCATCTAGTGAGGCAATATCTCTTCGCTTGCGTCTGACCCTGGCGCGGAAAAGACGGGCACAGCAGGGAATCGAGCCCCGTACCTCTGATTTTCCCAGACGCGCAGTAGTCAACGCAGGCGTATTAGCCGCTGGATTATCGGCGCCCTGGTGTACTTAATACGGACCAGTTAGGTGCGTGCGACCTATTTTTATCACCTAACTTTTGTTCCCTGGTGGACCATTTGTTAGAGTTGTCACTTTCACCTAACTGATAGCTTCATGCATTCAGTGTACAGTGTTCAGATGAACATGCGTCACATAATTTTTCTAGTAAGTCATCTATCCCAAATAAAGCATGCGACGAAATTGTCATGATCCGAAGTCACAGACAATTCCCACTTCTCCTGAGCTGGAGATTGCTCACCTGACCAGCAGCTGTAATTTGACCGCATATACCTGACATCAATAATGTCCAGTCAGCTCCTTATGCTGCAGAGTTTTGGGGCTGCACGCCCGTACCCATCCTACAGAAAGTGTTCCCATATCAGTGTATGTATCTAAGTGTAAGTACATGACCAGTAGTTATGGTCTGGTATGAACGACGTCGGAGGCCGCCGAGCAGTTAGAAAAACCTAATCAATTGAGAAAGCATTCACTCGCCACGAAATGTCTGGCAACAGCAGACTGTTTTGTAGTGTATTGTAGTGGACGGTGCCGGCATATCCACACGAAATGTCTGGCAACAGCCGATTGTATTGTAGTGTATTGTAGTGGACGGTGCCGGCATATCCACACGAAATGTCTGGTAACAGCCGATTGTATTGTAGGGTATTGTAGTGGAAGGCGTCGGCACATCCACACAAACTGTTGACTTTTTATGAATTGCCCGTCGCCATGTGTAAAAAATGATTTAAGCAAATACCGCAAGACCAAACAGGGACAGGAGTTGAGCATGTGAAGCCTCGAGGTACAGGGTTTAGCTCGCAGTGCTCAGAGATGGGTGTGAATGATATAGGGTATAGCAGTGCTCAAGGGTGGGATGTGAATGATGTAGGGTACGGCTCACAGTGTTCAGGGGTGGGATGTGAGTGATACAGGGTATGGTTTGCAATGCTCAGGGGTGGGATGTGAGTGATACAGGATATGGTTCGCAGTGCTCAGTGGTGGGATGTGCGTGATACAGGGTGTGACTCACAGTGCTCAGGGGTGGGAAGTGAGTGATACAGGGTATTACTCACAGTGTTCCGGGGTGGGATGTCAGTGATACAGGGTGTGACTCACAGTGCTCAGGGGTGGGAAGTGAGTGATACAGGGTATTACTCACTGTGTTCAGGGGTGGGATGTGAGTGATACAGGGTATGACTCACTGTGTTCAGGGGTGGGATGTGAGTGATACAGGGTATGACTCACAGTGTTCAGGGGTGGGATGTCAGTGATACAGGGTATGACTCACAGTGTTCAGGGGTGGGATGTGAGTGATACAGGGTATGACTCACAGTGTTCAGGGGTGGGATGTGGATGACGTGAATTGAGGAGCACCCTGAATAGCCTGATGCCATTCTCAATAAGGTGTGTTGGCGATAGCATAAGGAAGATTGAAAAGGTAAAGGTAGCTGAAAATGTACGAGAAGAGCGGTTTAAGAACTCAACAAACATCGGAAACAGCGAGTAATGATCTTCTGAGCGCTGTCGCTCTAGGCTCAATACAAAGATGTGCAGACAGTCAGGCCCATAGACAAATACATGAGATCGTTGATGTATGAGTGTCAATTCAGGGCAATCGAATTTTCTTGGGGCTTCATCCCCTTTGGGGCGCATAGCAAATATTGCTTTTGCTGTCTGACGTAAGTCACGTTGATGTCGGGAAATCAGGCGTTGCTAGGTGATCTAACGAGCTTATAACCCCACAACGCGAAGCATGAGAATACCCGCGACGAAACGATAATTATGCTGATCTAACCCGGTCAGTCACTGTTACGGACAGTTGCCCGCAACTTATTACAGACATTCATTATGGTCGCATCCAGGAAACCTTGTTTCCTTTTTGTTATTGGTTGTGATCTGAGCTCAAAGTTTTTTTTTTACTTACTTCGTATCTGTATTTTCTAGTTGACATGTCAATATATTTAAATGAACAGCATTGAAACAACACAACGGCAATGCAGTCAGCTTTGCGCACCTTGTTTCTCATATTTAGCGCCCACACTGGTGTCCTGTTTTGCGCACTATCAGTCATGGGAGTCAACGCCTCCTTATAGTAACTACCATGAGTATTGAGTGCCAAGAACTAAGTCGAGTGCTCGCTGTCCACGATCCTAGCGCTTGACGCAGGTTGTGGGCAGCGAGACTGGTTGCCAGTCTCGTTCGGCCTCTTTGGGCGAAGGCCTTGTCGTCCACTTGTCGACATTTGTCGGTGCGGCTTTCTCGCGCGGTGCCCGTTGCCCGGTGGCCATCATACGTGAGTGTGACCAGCAGTTTCCGGGAGGTGAAGAGGTTGTCGAAATAAGCAAGATGATCGGACGGGTTAGCAACGGCACCCAGCATGTCTTTCACAACTCTCCTACCAAAAGGCCCGTCTTTCTGCCTCCGTGTTCTTGTCACGACGCATTTGGAACTTTCAGCGGAAGTCCTCACCGTCGCCGAGGACCCGCATTCTGCAGCCGAACCGGATCGGTTCGGACCAAACCGGACCGAACCGGATCGGTCTTCCCCTGATGAGCTGCCTCAGCGACTTGCTTCCAAAGTATTGCACTATTTTCTCCTCGATAGCCAGCCCTTCTCTCACCCTTCCGAATTTCTGAAAA